GTATGCAAATAATCCTCCTTCTGAACCTCAACAGTATATTGATGTTCAGGGAAATTGAATAGGGTGCAGTAAAAAAAAAAAACTATTTAATGTGGCGTTGTAATTTTATATTCATAACCTCCTTTATTTTCTAATATATATTTTTTCAATCTGACGTGAACCTTGCTATGGACAAGGTATTCGACTGCTAATGGCACACGGCTTATTTATCCTTACATATATGTTATTGATTAAGTTAACGATCCCCTCCCTGAAATATCTGGCAATGCCAATGTAAATGTTTAATATAATTATAGTGTCATGCAAATTGTTAGGATGTTCAAGTTCAAATTTAGAAAATGTGATTCACTAAGAAGGATGATACAACTCTTTTAAATTATCATCATGTGCCATCCCCGATCTTGGGGCCAACAGTCTTGAATTTCCATTTCTTCTGTCCTATGTTTCTTGTAACATACAGCACTTTGTCGGTCCTTATGAGCCAAACCATTTCAATATGTTGTCCATATACTCACTTCTTTGTCTCCTTTCAGTTTCTTCTCCTAAATTTTACTGGTAATGTTCAAATTTGTCGAGCCTTCTTGCCTCATCACATATACTCACTTCTCTGTCTTCTTTCAGTTTCTTCTCCTCAATCTTACCAGTAAAACACAAATCCGCCAAGCCTTCTCATCACATTATCCAAACGATCTTGCTTGCCATATCGCTTTAGTCTTTATAAGTTAACAAATTAGCTTTATCCTTCTAATTCGTTTTCACTTTACATTCTCTCAGCCCGGCTGTAAACAAACGCGCTCCGTTCTTTGGGGTCGTGAGTGTGTATAATAATAATGACGAATAAATCTCACGATTCAATTAGAGTAGCCCAAAAGTTGACTAGCTGCCTTTCTTTTAATTTATTGCAAGTCCTCGGTGGCTCAGCGGAAAGTTTGAGGGCTTATAACGTTAAAATTCGGGTTTCGACACGTACAGTGGGCACATATAGCTCATTGTATAGCGTTGCGCTTAACAAAAACAAATTAGTCCATCACTTCAAAATTAGGGACGGCTATCGCAGATAGCCCTCTAATAGTTTTGCACGAAATTCAATGAACAACAATCGACATTTCCTTCTTTGAATAGTATTCTCAAATTATAATAATTTACTGATGTAGACAGTAAACTATTGTTGCGTCATCGAGGTCACGTGACTGGTGTGGCGCCCTCTAGTTTCTAGAACTATCTTGTTCTTTCAGGAATGCTCTAGTATTTACTAGATAGGGTAGTCGGGTATATATTAGAGGGGACAACGTGACGAAGGTGATGCGTGTGAGTAGATAGTGAGTAATTGAACTGCAGTCACAGGGTATTGTTGAAGTTAACGTTCGTTCGTTGATTAGCGTTTGTTTTAACGCGATTGTTGAAGTTGAGTGTATCGGTAAAGTTATATTCGGAAAGAATAAACCAGTTTTATTAAGTAAAGACTTGTGTCGTTAAAATTTCGTCGGGACGAAGTTACGGAAAAAATCAATTAACAAACGGAGACGTAACACTATGTTATCACTGAGTTGTGGAGTTGTTTTGTTTTCGTGAATACTGGTTTGGTTGTTGTTAAGCGCAAAGCTATCACAATAGGGTGTCTGTGCTTTGCTCAACACGGGTGTCGAAACCAGATTTTCAGAAATGTAAGCCTGCAGCTTTAAAGCTGAGCCACGGGGAGGGAGGCTTTTACCAGTATAACCCCCGTATTCGAATAAAAATATATATATATATTCTCGCTGTTTTTTTTTGCTACTGGTAGGTCTCTGATTTTCGCCGACAGAGTAGCTTCACAAACTGACCTTAACAATTCGACTTGTACTAGTTGTAGGTTGCAGGGCGTACAGAAATAGGGCCTAAATAGGTGTTTTCGGTAGCCTGTGGATTTGTTGACCTACTGGAAGGAAAATGATGAGTTTCATTGTACGATCTTCAGGATTTTCTACATACTTAAAAGCGACGTCGCAAGCTGTCGCTTCCCAAGTGAAACCTATTGTTCCACCTGTAGTTTTAGCTGCCGATAAAGCCTTGCCGTCTTCTCCAGAGAAACATAAAAGCCATTACAGTATTGCGCAGTCTCTCCCAAAAAATGAGCTATTTGCCCAATCAGGAGGCATAAGAGGTATGTGAAAATGTAACATCGTTAGTACGCGTAATGTTAGAGAAACAATTGAAAATAAAACTTCGATTTAATGTAATTTGCAAATTTAATTAGGTTTTATATTCTAGCTTTAAAATCCTTCATTAGGTTTACAAACTTACTAGTTTGTTATTAATTCAGTGCCACCATGTTTTATTTTATAGTTACTAGCTTAGTAACTAATGTACCCGTTCAATGCACAGAAAAGATATAGGTCCCTGGGGGGTGACATAAGGGTCATATCCGAACGTCAACCCTGTGAAACTTTTCGGAGGGCCCTAATGGTACATGCCAAGTTTGGTGACAACCTGTTCAGTAGTTCATAAATTATAAATGAACACAATACATTGGAAAGACATACTCGCATAAGACTAAGAGGTCAGATCCCAGTGTCAACCCCCCTCCCCTCCATGTTACTTCTTGTGGGTCCCCTAGGGTAAGTACCTGGTTTTAATGGCAATTGGTCCAGCAGTTTGTCAGTTGTAAGCAGTTACACACGTACATGCAGGGGGGATCTACCAAACCCCCTATTTTTGTGATGTAAAAAATATGCTAATTTAAGTCGAGCTCCCCATGCAGTGTTACAAGAGAATGATGTTTTGTTGATTTTGCATTGGATTTTATGTGACACTCATGCAATTGTTTAAGCTACATTTCATGCAAAATTGCTTCCAGATTTAATCCCATAGCACTCCTATTTTTTACAAATTTTCTGGGGTGGGGGAATGTCTCTAGATCCCCGTAGCATTAGCTTGATTTGCCTGCTGGTTATGCTTTACAAATATGTGTTGGCTTTTGATCTCACAAATTAGAAGTCCCTCTTTCAAACAATCTGTGTACAGGCCTGACATAGAGACTTTTGTCAAATAATGGTGAACTATATTTATAAATTATAATGCACCTCTAAAAAGTTAGACATTCATCAGAACTTAAAATTATTATTCAATACTTAAAATGTAGGTTAACTAATATGTAATTAAAGTATTATTGAAGTAATCAAATTTGAAGGATCCAGTTAGAGCAGTGATTCTCAACCAGGGGTAAATTTACCCCT